CGACTACTCTTACAGTCGCACACGACGATCAGTCTTTTTCTTCGAAGACCCCATCGACGCTGAACTGCAGCACACTCTGGTCAACAAAAAATTAATTTCAATAAAATATCGCTCATCTAATATCTATTTACTTACGATTTGAGCTGATTCGAATTCGTTTTTACGTAAAAACATAAAAAGTTCACACACTGTTTACTGTAAAATGTAAAACGTAAGTGAGAAATAATTAAAATCAGGTCAATATATTTACTATCATACGTTTTTTTATCAATGAGAGATTTTTCTTAGTGACAAGTGGTTCTCCGTCTCATCACAATACCCTCTAATGGCAAAACGCTCGCTCTAGATAATCACATTTGACGACAATACCGTAAGCGTTGGAGATATTTGACTCGAAACAACTCCAGCTAAGATCTGGAATAATGTACATCACTGGAAATGCTTACACACGTTTCGGAACAAAAGCGCGGCGCCGCCACCAGAGATGATGATACCATACGCAAAAGTCCATCTCACACAAAATTTTTTCAAACACAAAGCGCACATTTGCCCCCAGAGGATGCATTAGCAGAAACGTGTAATAACCCGTCAATTAATGCCAGCAAGGTAATGTCGATCATGTATATATTGGCTCGGCAAAATACCCATGATGCAAGATAAAGAAAGAGCACTGCTCTTGACCATTAAAAGTATCATTCATTTCTTTAGGGGAAAGTCCTGCTACATTTTGACCTTGAGAGGATATTGCTGCTTACAAGAGATAATATTCAGGTCGGAAAACGGGTTCGTAAAATCCAGTTAATGAAGCCAAAGGTGAGGTTCGTTTATTATATATATATATATATATATATTTATTAACAACGAAATTATTGCATATAGCTATGTCCACGAAGCATTTTTAGTTGACACGCTTAGTGAAAGTACTCTTGATAATTTTATTAATTTAATTTAAGATAATTAATTTATTGGCTATTGTTTCGTCTTGGCTGTTTTTTCCGTGCCTATCTGAAACTATTGCCTAAGCGTTCACTTCAAACAAAGCTCAAAGCTTGATAGAACTCCCATCTAGGTAAAAGTATTCTAGACTACATTTGTTTGATTCTGTAAGTATCTTCGCATGGCAATGTCATGCAGTTTTTTTTGCAAACATAGATAAACATTTCACGTATCGCTTAGTAATAACTTGTTATTTTGGTAAACATGCACTAAAGTTTAACTAGACTAGTACTGGCTGGGTTGGCCGAGTTGGGCCTTTTCCGACACGAGGCTGTTAAGTGTTTTTTCTTTATATTATCGTTGATCACATTGGATGCATTTATAACAGTAAGATAATCTCTAGCACTAATGCTGAATTAATAAAATTTACTCCTTAAATACGTTTGCTAGTTCTTACAGGACATGGCTCGAGAAAGCGTCTATGCCGAAATCGCAGCAGTAATCCCATTGACACCAGCTTTAAGTTCGTAACATTACCACGAGGCAGAGATTGGCTCCTCTAACGTAATGAAGAGCTATAACCAAACTAGGATAAGAAAAGGTTTTCTTGTATGATGCTTTGAAACGTTATTTTTTTCTATTACGATGCACTGCACTATGTCGTGCTAAATCCGGTATATTTTGCAAACTTTTTGTGCCCTTCAAACAACAACCAGTCACCGAATCTTTCAAACTGTAAAATTTTCTAACTGCCCGGACCATCTTCACTATATTCGAGAGGTGCGTATGTATGATTGGCCTGAGAATGCTGGCTGTATGTCTAGCAAGGGCAGATGTTGCCTGCGATATTATTGCTCTTTAGCAGCGATTGTATTGTATCCTTAGGACAGTTTGAATAAATTATAACCTGCATTATCTCCAATGGAAACTATGCCTTATATTTGTGTTCACATAGGAAACGTGTATTAGCTAAGCCAGTTCGAGTAAGGTTATATATTTCGGGTACCTTCTATAGTGGTATTGTCAAAAAAATAAAAAAAATCACTGAGTGTTTATTTTGAGGTTAAATAGATCCCATCCTGGAATAAATTTTCTCTCTAAAAAAACTTTTCATCTATATGCATTAACATGATTCGTGCAAGCAACCGAATCATCGAACATTATTCAAGCTTCGCTTGTATATAGGTACCACACTGCGGCCTAGTAGTTTAACAAGAAATTTACTCTCCATTGAAATCAATGGGCAGATTCACCAAGCTACTATGAGCCGCTACTTGGGTAAAATACCTACCTCATAAGCGTGGTTTATTCTCGCATATTTTTTAGAAATTATGCGTAGGCGACCATTAAAAACTCAGTCTGGACTGGATCGAAATGTCGAAATTTCGTCGGAGGGACGATTATTGGCCCGGGCTGTCCTTACCTATTACCTAGAGCCGACGTTGATCACATTGCAGCTGTTGGTACAGGCGAGCCTTTTATGACGGCCTTCGAAGGCCTGCGCATAAATCACACCTGTGACGTTCTAGTTGTCCGTCCGCTACCAGAAACCGTCTTGACCAATTTTACGGATCAGAGTATGTAGAATTGACGATGAATTCCAAAATTACACAAAATACCCCAAGGTCATGCGACGAACGGTGTGATGACTATTTAATTGTGACTTTATTATGTCGCTTTGCTCTGGCCAGATCTAGGGTTTTTATTGGGGGTTAATGTATCATATATGAGACTAGATAGTAATTATATGTTGGCTAAAATTATTGGACTAAATTAATTATTGGCTTTCAAGTTTATATTGGTGTTTACTTAGAGTACTGTCATAGTAATTGAACAGGCGCCATCGGTGTTGCAAGGAAATGCTTGATCGTTAGCTGGACGTATGGTCACCACCTATATTATCCTGATATACCCGTTATATTGAGGAAATAATATGTGTCCTTATTATATTTCGCATCGAATCTCATGCAGATACCTGACCTGAGACGTTTAGGCAAAGTTGACCTAAACCGCGTAGATAAATTAGCTTTGTCAGTCTAATCGTGCTTACTGTATATTGTATAGGTCTATATAATCCACTAAATAAATAAATATACGCGAACAATAATAATATCGAAACTGCTAACAGGAGTGTTGACAAACTAAAATAAGTACACTACATTCATTTAGCGATAATCAGACTTGTGCTATCAAATAATGCCATGCTAGTTAGCGTCAACATCATGACACCGCCCAAAATAATTAAAAAAAAAACATGATTTGAGTTTCTGTATGCAAATCGACATATTGCGCCAACAGATTATATGGCCTCGCTATGTGCTTTATCGTATGAATCACTAAGAAAGCTTTATAAGCCTAAGCCGCTGCAAAGTCTTAAAAAAAATTGATGATTTTCTGGATTCATCGAACAAGCGATCTTGATGCTTTGGCTCATTCTCTTCACCACGTACAGCGTAACATCGCAGATTGGAGCGTCGACGATGTTGAACAATCCGCTAGCGCGTGGATATCAAGTGTGATGCCGCTTAACGTTACCTAGAAGATCGTTATGACCGGAATAAATTATAACATCAATGATACACTGGATATTTTCGATTTTTTCAATGCCAGTCATACTTGGCGAATTTAACTTATACGTTTAACGGTAAATGATCATATTCCTCGTTTTGTAAATTAACGCTATTTATATTTATCACCTTTGTTCGAATGTGCTGATTAGAGGGATTAGTAAAAACTTCGTAGGGGGTGCGCCTGTGTTGTGATAAAATATTCTTCTACAGCGATAAAGAGATCTATACTCTTGACCGTCATGAATTGTCCTGTAGGTGAAAGAAAGCCTGAGCAAGTCAATCGTGTTCAAGTTCATTTTAGCGGTAGTCCTTGTAGAGAACAGAGAGGCAAGGGCGCTCACATTCAATGAAGGCTGTACGACGGTCGCAGTCAGTATGAAGTTGTAGACGTTACCTCAAGATATAAGGACACTCTAAACGAGCTACATCCAGTCGGAAACTGATCACTGGCTTGATCTGGTTTTGGGGCCATTTGGAGAAAACCGTGGGATGCGCGCGCTCGGCTTCATAGTTACACAACGTTCAAAAATGTACTCGAGTGGAACAATTGGTTTTCTTGGACGTATTTTTACTTCTCTCATGAGACACATATCCCGCCCTTCTTCGCGAGGCCTCCAACAACTTAATGCCTCAACTTAAGCCTCACATCGTTTATATCTACAGACGCAAATGATACTCAGTTTATCATTCGTCCAAGAGCACACTTTAGAGCGTGTACACGAGATGTTCTTAGGTAGCCTTGGAAGAGCCGAACGTCATCAGCCAAAACTGGCATCCACTGCCAACTTCGTTACCGCCTCAAGAAGTCGAGAACGACCACGTTCTTCAAGTGGAAAATCAGATATTGGAAACCGATTTTAGCAAATGTTCCCAGTTGTAAGATTTTCTTCGCACACAGTGCATATTTTCCATGCCGGTTTTTTCGAAAACTTTTTGATGACAGTGAAAAAAAAAAAAAAATAGACTCAGTAATAAACCCAACCACATATCGATATCGAATCGATGAGTATATGCCTCGCTGCTAACAGAAGGTTAAAATATGTGGTTACTCAAACAAATGACACTAGAAAAAAAAAAACAGCCAGAGATGGAAATAATCAGTACTGTATTAGAAAGATCGTTTTGATTTTGATAACTTTTAGGAAAACGATTTGGTTTCCGCGTCGGTACTTCCTGTACCATTCGCAAAGAGGACGGGATCCTATATTAATTACTAAAACATATGAGATAACTTAATTCTACGATTCTTATTTTGATCTTAAAAAAACTGGCACTCTTTGATGAAAACATTTGGCTGGTAACTAATATATTTCATCCTGGATCATTCCATTGGTAATCGGCGGGCAAGGGTCACACACCAGTGCAGTTTATCTCGAGCAGCTTCGGCCAGAAGCCGAATTATTCCATAAGCGCCTAAAGGGTAACGATGTATTATTAACAGCTTACAGTTCGTAGTACAACAAGCAGAACATACACGTCTGAATACGACTATTCGTAAAAAACACCATAATGAAAATATACAAGTTTATAAATCGCCTACATTTCCAAAAGGAAAAGGCCACTTACGTATACGTATAAATGGCAAAAATTTACGTAATTTATAAAGTACGTAATTTTATTATTGTTCATATGTCATTGCATATATAGTAATATATTATCAAAGCTTTTAGCGCCGGAGCGATTCCGCATCCGGCAATGGGGACCATATGACATATTGATGCATGTAAGTTCGTACTGCCAGAACCTTATTGTTGTATATAAAATAGGTATGCTTAGATAACCTTTGATTGAATTAATGGATACATTTCTTGACGTTTCTCAAGAAGATAACGAGCTTTCATTTCGCTTGTTCATACCTATGATACCAGACACAAAAGAATCTAAATAAATATTACAGACAGCATTGTTTCTCATTCACACTACAACGCATTAAACAGCACACATTAGAGAATACATTCACGTAGACTGCGTGTACGTTTAATCGCCTATTCAGTTAGGCCCAACATCTAGCATGCCCCAAGTAAAAAGGTATACATAAGAAGTTGCCCTGATCACTCGACGTTACGCTCTTTAAACACGCACGTAGGGAGAGATATTTGCAGTATTTGATCATAACAAGGTTCTATAGTATTAAGGCTAACCTCAATACAATAAAGCCCGTATCAACCTGTTCAAAACATCGGTGGTGAGCTATTAGAGATATTGCGTGGCTAATGTAATGGACCCTTGGTCGCTATTATGCCACAGTCGTCTTTTCCTACCAGAGGGTCGAATTATCCAACACAACGTTGGCCGTCAGCAGCGACTAGAACTACTAAAATTATGTAGACGCACGTTGGCATACGTTATATAAGGTATCCACCGCAATTATTATTTAGTTTGACAACCGTATTGATTTAGGCTTTAAAAAAAAATAATATTTTGTCACGGTCTTTTTAACCACTTATAACGAATGTCTAGTAAAAGTGAAATAACCTGTAAAATTTTAATCGTTTAGAAAATGAGAATTATCAAGCACGTAAAAACTTAGGCTAGGTTTGCGCCTGGCTTTCTTCGCCTTTTGCTTCTATATTTGACTATATTATATATATTTAATATAATAATTGTCATCTATCTACGCTAATCTTCTTTCTGATTGACTTCATACTAATCTGAACTTTTTGCTGAAGGTTTAAATAGATAATGATGAGACGATACATATAAAATATAGCTCAGGCAAAAATTTGACATGTTCTAGAGAGCACCTCTGACACCGAATTAATGCTCAGCAGAGATATTCGAAAGCGTCAACCTTCGTTTGTACTACCGTATTAAAAGCTCCCTAGCCCAATGCAAGATATCACTTTGGCGGGAAATTTTGAAAATCAGTTGAGCAAATCCATGATGAGCCGTCGAAACGTTTGGGCAATAAATAGACACGCGAAGACAAGGCATAACAATCTGGAACTGATAGTACAATAACAAATAAATAGAATTAAGAAAATAGCAATAATATGAAATATCGATATGGCGATGCTGGCTTATATTGGCGCATACTAACTAGCCAGCTCATACGCAGATGCAGCCATAGAAATATTTGCATACGAGAGCTATTTATCGGACACACTTCGATATCGGTCAAGCCATATAGAAACTATACTCATATATCAATAATCTCAGTATCAAATACATTACAAATCAGATCCTCAATAACTTACATCTGCTGTGCGTTCTTTCTTACAAGGCAGCCCTCACAAAGAGCGTTACCCTTTTTTCCACGACTTTGAAGGACTATCTGAGTTTCTATCCTTTTTGATTTGTGTTTCTTTCGATCTGTTGATGCTCCAGCGCTGCTCACGTCAGACATTACTTCCGGTTCGTCTGAATCGACCGGCCATTTACTGACATCATCACCGTTACGGAACAGATGTGGTAAGCTGTCGGCTCCGGAAATTCTCTGTTGACTAAGTTGGCGAGAAGGAAGGAATGAATAATTAGCCCACGGTGAAAAACGTTCTTTTCCTGGCCAAAACACATGAGCAAAGGATACAGTCGATATATCGGGACACAAGGATACCAGTGGGGCCAAATAAACAAAAAACATGACAACAAAATAGGAACGGGATAGTTTTGGCAGAAAAAAAAGACCTAGTGCCAGCCATCATCCCAACAACTCCTTGTCTATGCATGATATGAAAAATACAGAAAGCTAGCACCAAGAGCCACTTCGGTCATGGAGTCAGAGGATTAGCCGTAGAGGAAGCTGTGTTCAATAGAGTAGATAGGATCAGATCCTCTTTCGCTCGGAATATCTTCATACCCAAAGGAAGAATCAGGTTCCGTTGAGTTATCCATTGTTAAAGTCGACAGTTCAGCAGCCAATGAGTTGTGCCCGATTTGACCAGGGCTTTCGACGACCCTATAATTAACTTCGAACGCATCGTTCTTGTCGAGTTCGTACTCAGTATCGTGCCTTTCAACGATGTCACAGTCACTTTCGATATCCGAATAATGATGCTTTTGACGTAAGTCCTCCTGGAGTGCCTTCGATAGAAGATAACAATTCACATAATAGGCTGGGTTAAATGATTCAATTGCGTCAACGAATTATTAATAAATAGCTAAAAAGGTGGTGTTAACGAAGATTTATCGTAACATAACATTGCGCTGCTTCAATAGTAAAACAGCGTTGGATGGTCTGGAACTTTGAGATGGGATAGATATGTTGAAAAGAGTCGAAAGGAGTCCTGACAGAGTATATCATTTACGTACCCGAAAGGCATGTAGAAGTTCGCTATATTTGCGCTCACTATTCGCCAGCTCGGAGGTGAGCGCCTGTCGAGCTTCATTAATTTCATCCACGCTGATTTGAAGCGTCTTATTTTCGACAGACTGCGCGCAGATCTGAATGTAAATGTATAAAAATAGATACAACTGTGACTAAAAGAACATCTTACGAATTGATATCGTTCAAAAGAAACTTGTCCAAAGTTGCGTATATCAGCGAAAGTAGAATCATGCAGGCAGTAAATTTTAAGGCGCTCAAACTTGTAAGTTAAGGACAATCGAAACGTGCAAGAATCGAATTGAGAATTGTTGTTAGAAACTGACCAGGGCAATTCCTTCTGACTGAAGAAAAAATATAAAATTCAGCTAGTGAAGGTGGAGACGAACATAGTTACGTACTTAAAATAACTGTGTAGTGATGTTACATTTCGTACCTTTTCCTGAAGAACACAGATTTGCTTACGCAAGCGCGTTATTTCCTCATTTTGTTTACTGGACATCATAGATTTTTTACTGAGTTCCCTTAGAAGTCGATTTTTATCTTGTTGGCTCGCGTTCAGCTCCAGAGCTCGTTTAGTTAGCAACACTTCATTTGTCGCCAAATGTTGTGTCCACGTTCCTGACTGAAAGTATGCAAAAATAATATATAATAGATAGTAGCGTAGTTTCCTGCAAGTACTAGTACTAGTTACCGCACTAACCTCAGTGAGGTACATCATTGACAGTAATAGAATTCGTTGTTCCTCACCAGCTTTCGAATAACTGGCCCCATTTAATACACAGATGTGGCTATATTTTAGTGGGTTCTTTTTGCTTGAGCTTCTGGAAGATATGGTATTTATATACCGGTACGCGGTACGCGGATTTTACGGTAAATTTTCTACGGTAGTACGCCTAATAAGAGGTTTTGGCACGGGCACTAGCTCGAACTGAAGTTGCCGGGTCCGAAGCGTTCAATGAAAAGAGGAACACGACGCAAAGGGTTCAAAACTTAGAGGGCGCAAAAAATGATGCCTTTGTATAGCGCTACTGTAAAGATGTGGCAGTGCGCGTCTGGAGAAGATAGTAAAAGCGCAGATACATTATTATAGGCTTATATATGGATTTCACTGCAAAAATAAATGTTATTCCCTCGAAAGGTTGATTTCTGTTTACTCTCTAAAAATAAGGACTACAACAAACTATGAATAATGTGCAACGTATTTTAAGGAAAATATAATTTTGGAGTGCCACGGTATGCCCAATGCACACCTCATGCTTGAGTCGCGCAATCTCCGCTTCGAGCTTGCCGATCTTTTTTTTAAGACGATCGACATGGTAGGTTGGCGAGTCTTCAGGGAGGACGTCATCTTCCTGACCATTTTCGTGGACAGCAAGAAGTCCGTTGGCCACTGATAGGCCATGACGAAGTCGAGCCGTTTCATCCTCCGCTTTTTTCATGCTGTCGTTCAAACAGTCGATGGTATCCTACGTAATGTGCAAAACAAATAGGTACGATGAAATTAAAAAAGCCGTTCAATGCAAGATGAAAGTAACGTGTATGCGACAATTCTCTGTTCCTAGGCCCAGGTCCTAAATTGACTATTCGAACACATTGGAAGTAAAGTAACGCATGTATTTTTACAACGAATCTAAGAAAGCTTCGTGACACGGTGGTGTATAGTTGAATGCAGTTGCTTCACTCATTTTGCGTATCGTGACCCAAAACGATCTAACGACGCTGAGCTATTCGAAACAGACCTGTAGCTTTGTCTTCTCCTCAAGAAGGGTTTTGCCAATGCGGATAGCCAATTCGATGTCCTGTGCCTTATTTATGAGAAGGCGAGCCAACGGAATACGATTATCTAACAGTGACATGTCCCCCAGCAGTTCGGTGCAAAGTACTGTAATCGTATGTAAAAAGAATTGATTCCGTTTACAAAAATCGGCATATCCGCAACTCAATAACATCTTATATATTATGTCGATGCAGCAAATCTAAAAGCTCTGCGGAGGCTTAAAAGCTTTATCATACCAAAGAGTTACATTGGTGATGGACTAGCGAATAAAAAACTTAATCGATTGTCACAAAAAAAAAAAGTTAAATATTTATAACGCAGTCTCTCACATTCAAAATGATTGCCTCTTTCTTCGTCGGAGTCCGGGATATCATGTCCTCTGAGTCGCCCAGTACCAAGAACGCGGCCGAATGAAGCTCTGTACGGCGAGTGATAACCTTCGTCGATCACTTTTTCCTGATTGGACTCATTAACATTTGTAAACACTTTCTCTGTCTCGAACATGTTTCACTTATGCACACTTCGTACGATGCGACTTCGCAATGGACGAACATCTAAAGGTAACTACTTTAAGTGTACAAACAAACAAACAAACAAACAAACAAACAAAGGACGATATTGTCCGCTTTTTAATTTCTATACCATAAAAATGTAATGCCTTCTGGCTGACCATGTTGTCTGCTTTAGACGCAATATTTGTACGAAAAACTTTCTATGTCATGTCGTTGTTGTCTACACATTTAAGCTTGACAATGATAGTAAAGGACGAGCATTAGTGTTCAGGTACAATTAAACCGCATTAAAGGTAAACGTTGTATTTCAGACAACGAAGTCTCGTCTTTGCACACGGGTCTTAGCATATATCTGCTCGAAATTGCGATTCTTCCTGCGACTCCAATATTATCTTCGGAAGCTAAGATTCAAACGCCACGCTAACACGAAAGTCTTCATATCAGAAAAATAGACATAGTTGCCTAATGCGGTTGCGCTAAGCAATACATGTAGATTTGACAATTTTTTTGCTAATTGTTTCAACATCTATATTCGTACGTTAAACGAGCGAGGCATCCGCCTAACAATGATGTCGCACAAGTAGAGTTGAGGTAGCAAACGTTCCATAGACATAATCAAGCAGCAGCAGCAGCAGCGGCAGCGGCAGCGGCAGCAGCAGCAGCAGCAGCAACAACAATGTCAAAAAACCGAACTACAGACCACAACAATGATATCGCTCGATCTTCACTGGTTCATACCGTGAGGACACGATCACGAACGCTTCCTGTTCAGGGCTTTTCGTAGGCAAATCACTTCGTTCTCATCAGTGTCGAGACTCCTCACTCAAATACATTGTTTACGTTTTTCGTGTCCACTCTCCACCATAACGTTTGTTCGTTCTAATTTATAACTAAATCAACTTGTCTTTAACAGGGGAAGGATTTTTGCCTGCACCGAAACAGGCCCGCTCGTGGTGGGACGTTTCTTCCGGCTAATGCACGCACGACGCGTGCTGAGGAATTATCGAAAGCTTCATTTCGTAGCAGGCGCAAGAATTGTTGGGCAAGTATCGAAATGGTGCGGATTATACGTACGCTCAAAAAGGCTATATCAGTATCTAAACATCAAATAATTAGTGGATAACTATAGCTTTAAATATATAGGCTACGAAGAAGTCCATTAGCGATATGTACAAGTGGACAATATATCCTACTTATATAGATGGTGGGAAAAGAGCACCGAGCATTTCATGTTTTACGTGTTCGAATAGCTTAAAATATATAGTATACAGGTCACGAGAAACCAAAATTTAATTTTTAGAAAAGTACCCAAAGCAATTTATTTATTTAAGAACAATTTACATGCATACGATAAAAGGATTCATTTATTTAATAAGTAGAAAGTGCGATTGAATGTTTCATTGAAGCGGGGAAACAGTACGTTTTCATGAGACGGCAAAAAAAGAGCGGGCCAAGTGTCAAACAACTCAAAAAGATAAAACTGTAGTAAAATAAGCAAAGAGTAGTAAATTCTACAGGAAACCTACCCTGAAATGAGGGGTTTGGCAAAGCATCAAATAGATTTGCACAAAAAAAGAATATTTATAAATAACCTAATCGAAGTTTACCTAGTCAATCATTGTTTTTCTGAATCGATGTGACCCACCAACCCAGATGAACGTTTTAAGCATGCGGTGTGCAATAACGATTTGGAAAAAAACCTACATCAGATATTACCTGTCAAAAATCGTTTGGTAGTACTGTCCTGTTTATTTAATGAAAGAAAAAACATTGTTTTGATGTTGATAGTATCATCGCGTTTCTACTAGCCAGATCATTCCGGTCAGGTGACTATAACCTCTTATGGACTTTCTTTTTTACAACACCGTAAGCTGGCTAGTGCTAGTAGCCACTAGCTGACCGCTTCAATAGGGAGCATTTACCCCACTAGCCATGGACTTTAATGCCTATGTTAGTATCTAGCCAAGGAAAAACGTATTATTATGGTTTAGCAATCTTTATTTGGTTGGCCTCTTTACAGCCCCCACTATTGGGGGGTTAAACCCGTCGTTTTATCGATCGTTCTTACTGTTGCAGTTGTCTTGCTTCTGTAGTAAATCAAAGGCGAATTCTATGTCAGTTACCTGTTCTTCTCACTGCGTTGCAATAATATATTATATATAGATTGTGTTTACCTCTGCTTCTAACCGTTTTTCTATGTACAGCAAAGACTCGCTTACTCAGCCACGACGCCACCTCTTTGGCACCACACAGATCATCTAATCGTTCCGTCCCAATTTTCCATAGTCCATTGATAAAGCTAACATCAATTAGCCTATAACTTGCTCGCTTTTAGATTCGTATCCTATTTGGTGTGAGACACCCAACGACCCATAATGATACTGTTTGCTAAGAACAGCCTAAGTTTGTTTCGTTAAATCAACGCCGTCCAGACATTGTTATTGCTGTGTCGGTCTTTTAAATCTCTTCTAGATGATATCCTGTATTTGACCCATTTCCGCCCCTTGACACCCCAGTGGCAACTAAAAGACCTCCTCAGCTTACGTAGGGAACTAGCCTTTTTTTTTTAACTTTCATGTCTTCCTTTCGTGCAACAACTTGACCCAAATCAAGTTGGGGGTCTTGCGCACCGCTGAGACGCTTTGGCCCCATCTATGAGTGAGCACTTCGAGAAAGCTATACAAAAAAACACTTCTATCACGCCTCCAGTCGTTTAATACTACGTTGTTTTTGAAGCTTTTTTATCTTATTTTTTTTTCCGTCTAATCCATTCAAAGCGTCTCAGTTATTGTTGATTGTATTTTGTTGTACTTAAAGACAATCGTACGTAGCTAGCCTATCTTACTTCCAGCGAAGACGAACGCTTCGACAGAATCACTTTTCTCAAATCGGAAGAAAAAAGCGCCGAAATTTCTTCATGAACAAAACCTTTTTTTTTTTGGGAATTATATGGGGTTTATTTGAGTGGCGCAAACCTGCATAGCTTTCCCGTATAGCAACTTACTAGCAATAATCCCCCGACGGTAAATACCGCCTCGCTTTACTGCTCAGCAGCTTGCACCCGCTTGTTGCCGTTGCGTAAATAACAACCCACCCCATGCACGTATACCCCCTATCCAGTTCCGATTTTTGTTTTTCTCTCCACATTAGCGATACTTCTTTATTGGTACACACTTAACCATTGTATATATAATTAATATGTCCTCATATTTCGTCCAGCAGCGTAGTGATTTCGCTCGTAGCTTAATTAGTGTCATACTGTCGCTTATGTACAAAATGCTACGAACGAGGTAACAGCTTGAGTTTTCGTTTGTGATGTTACGAGCCTGGAGTGTCTTGCCTTCCATCAACTGTTGTCATTGAAAGCCAAAGTCAGGTGCTCACTGACTGGCAAGCGCACATACATTATTTGACTGCTTGCTTAGGAGTCGAAACATCACTGGCAGAGATACATCCTTGAGGTTGACTTCTTAAAAGGCATTTATATATATACATATATATGTATATATATACGAATGACGAACTCCACTAATTTATATGGATTAAGGGATCGATCCGTAAGGTTAGCTTGGATAGTCGAAAATCAACTGTAAATGTAGCAAATCAACTAAAAAAAACCAATTAAATCGGATTTTTGCTTTAATTGTTTGTCTTCGTTAGTAGGCAAAAAAATGCCCCGTTCGTGCTCGCCTTTCTTTTTCGTAAATCTTCTAGCTTATATTTGATTTTGCTCAGAATAATGATAATAATAAAACAAGTAGGATCACTCTTAAACAGCTTAACAATAACAAACGAGAATTATAACTTTTGTTTGTGTCATTGGCTACTTTGTATGTATCAGTGTAGATGTTGTCGATACAAATCAAATATGTTAACTTCATCTAGAACAGCCCCAACAAATTTTCCGATCTCACACAATTTACAGTATACGTTCTGACATTAACGTTTAAGTTATTGCATTAGTCCATCTGCTGTATATTTGTAGGCGTGTTTTTGTATAACGCATCCGTACTGCCTTCAGCTACGCGGAGAAATTTCGTTCCGTAACGTCAAACTGAATGTAGCGTCATGCAGTTTCAAATAGTTCCACCCTATATCGGTGAGGGCAACGCAGAGAAGATGATCCGTCCTTCACCACGTTACACGAAATCTAGCGACAGCATAAAACCAATCGGACAAAAAGGAAACACCATCTTGTTTTATAGCCTCGCTTGTTGCCGCGGCCGCCGCCTCCAGCCGACCTCATTTATATTACCGAACTACGGTATTACATTAGCAGATAATAGTAACGTGAACACTTTGTAACGCTGTATACTGTATACCATCCCAAAAATGTTTCGACAATTTCTCCATTCGTTTGTTCCACAAGGATCAATTAATATGAATAGCTGAGAATAATCGGGTTACGAATGGTCCTCGTTTAGTAGCCTCTGTCAAAGTCAACAGTCAATATATCGTAACGGCAATGTCAAACGTATTAACAACTAATGAGCCCAAACTCGAATAACCTTCGTTCGGACAATTACGTATAAGGGTTCCCTAACGGAGAGAATCTTAGCAGACCCATGCTGAAAATTTTACGGGGGTTAGATTTACTTCCGGTGTTGCGCCTTTATAGATACTCTATAGTCCTACCTCTCCCTCTCTCCCGAATCGATTGTAATGTTTTCTTTAAATACAACACCCAGCTATGGTTTTTCAACCCAGCTAGAGTTGGCTACTCTTTTCTGTCGAGAATTTTCACTCTGTATTGTATTGATCAATGATTATAATCACTGTATTTGTTTGTGTATGCAGCTATTACTATTATTATAGCCTATTTGTCATACGCTACTGGAAGGAGTCAATTAAAGCTGAAAAATCCCTTCAAAGTTATACCGGCAAGTTGTTTCAAGCAATATTATCGCTAATATTGGCATTCGTGAGAACAAGATATAGGGCTGTCACAGGCCACACGTCAGACCGATTACGATTTTCCGCTGAAGCATAAATCAAACGAAGCGAAGCCACTTCGTACTGTATTCCTATTACTTTGGTTATAGTCTTTTCGTACCTTCCTAAGTTATTGTTCCTCCATCAATTTTCAAATTTACAATGAATAAATACTGTTTACGACACGAAAACATCAACGATGTCTCAAAACAGAAGACGGCCATTAGGTCGGATGTCAGCGAGAAGTAGCTTATTGGCATCTATCAATTTTCTTCACTCGATCGTGCTTCCTCGACATTAATTACTACGTACACTTAATACTAAACTTAAAGGTTTTAAATGTATGTTGCAGACAAAAACCGTGTAGTTGCCTGCTATAATTTTTAATGTATTGGCATAGCAGTGTCGATGCGGCGCATATTGTTCTTCCAAGATCTGTTAACATTATGGTTTCTCTACCGTACTTTTTCCTCACATTACTACATAAGCGCCCCCTTGCGCATATTCCGCATCGAACCTATGGTGCCGATTGGTCGTGCGCGTCGGGCATTGCTGGGTACGAGATTAGTGTTGATCTGAACCAGAGGATTAGGCGCTCGAACCAAGGGAACCCGCATAGCAGGCATCAATCGAGAAGCCGCGTTTGTGTCCAACTTCGAGGGTGGCACAAGACTCCAGGGCTTTGGGGCAGCTGATCGTGGCATTGAGGAAGTGTCGTCTACCGCTATAGATGCAGAGGCCGACGTCACCGGCGATGTCGTGTGACCACATGCCGTTGCTGAAGCTAATGAAGTAATCGATGTAGGGGAGGCTTCAGAAGGAGGCTGTCCCATAGTGTTGATCGGAAGCACCGAGCTGATCGAATCTATAGATTCAATACAAATACACACCGAATACAGAAAAATAATAGATAAAAAGCACAAATATCATTGCTAAACATGTGTCGTGATTGTGGAAGCATATCTACCGTGATGTTCCTACAACGTTTTGTCCTATTTTCAAATTAGTTATCACTTCATAGATATGCAAAGCTACTTTCTTCGCAATGTTTTACATTTCCGGTTATTCGATTACTCATGGTACAAGATATCCATTCTTAAACAAGTTGGCTACACGCGAGTCTGAACTCTGTGGGAGCATTTCGCTTCGTAATCAAGCCAATTGAAGATAGTGGTAATATATGATGCTTTCTTACCGCTCATTGTGGTCGACATACGTGTGACAGCGGCATGACACAGCTCCATAGATTGAGAGTTGCCATCAGCCGCCGTATAGCCCTGGAAGGGCCACTGAACAAGGCGAGATAGCCTCGACATCAGTCCCTGGGTATCAAGCTCTTGTCGGGCACGCTTCGCTGCGCGAGGATAATTTCTGCGCCTTGAAATATACTCTCCTTTGGTCGGGGTAACGTTCACAGAGTCATCTTCGACGCGGTAAGAACGTAGCAAGACCCCTTTTGCACGATTCTCTTTGACCAGATCCGGGGTGAATATGTCCGACGTATCGTCTTCAAGCTCGTTCGGAGGAGTACCCGGAGGTGTCTGGTTGGGCGATGGTGCTGGAGTTGACGTCACTATAAACAAAATATAACGCATGCGGTAAATCCGATAAAAAATGCTTTTATATGAGATAGTGGAAAGTAAGCTTTAGTGACATGGTCCATAATATGCTGGTCTCGATTGTTGTATCTCTTATGCTGAAATGAACCTGTCTATTTCTCTCTTAGCTTATATTTTGCTTTTTGTTTTTTTTTTTTGAAATATTTATTTTTGACGTAAAGTGAAGATTTTTAAACTTTGTCATATCATTTTCAATCATTCTGATATGATGAATCACATACCCACGCACGCACGCACGCACACACATTTTTATACGGCAGATCATAAGGTAACAATGAGCCCCTAGTGAACTAAGCGAAATGTTCAGATAATTAATCCAGTTAGAAGTACGGATTATTCCCAATCTTGAAGCCCTCACTCTTCGTTTGTCTACTACCAACCTGAAATATGTTCGTCATCATCGTTCTTGTCGCGTAAAACGGCCGGTACCATCGCATGAATACCCCGCTCGTTCAAAACTCGTGCCAAGCCTCGGTTGACACTACATGTTGTCGTGGCTACCAGATAACTTGAACGGCTCAATATTCCACCCGTGGCCTGCACGGGTGAACGATGCGTCGATCCGCTGGTCGCCATTTTGGTCGTCTCCAGACTCGACGTCGTTTGTGTGGCGTCAGGGTGGAGCACATTCGACGTCGAATAGGTATAAATACAGGAGCTCTGCTCGAAACTTTTACCGGGCTGGCTGAGGGGTTCGTCAACAGCAACTTCTCGCAAAAATGACGCAATATCGAGTGAACTTGGAGGTTGAGGTGTACCTCTTTTATTCGGGCAGAGGCTGGCTGCCATGCCACTCGGTGTTAAAGTGGGCGGAGACTTGGGTGCATAGCGCGTTTTTACGCCGTGAATGCGCTCTTCGAGTCCTACGAGACCGAGAGGAGCGGGCGTGGCAAGACGGCGCCATCGATGCAGCGTCTGTGAACCTTCCAGTGGTTTAATGATTTGCAACTTGTCTGCAAAAGGAGAGGAAAAGCAAGTCGTATACGGAAAAACGAAAAAAAAACAATAGGAAAGGATGTAATTGCAGAATACGATGGTTATTTGAAATCGGGGGATCGAAAAACGCTTTTTGTCGTATTCTATAGCTCCGAACTCTTTCAGATCCTACTGATCTACTATCCTGAAAAATCCTAACTCGAAAGGTTTAAATATTTAATTATACTATTGCTTGGGTGTCATTCGATGCTCAGTTTTCTACATAGTTCGCTTATCATGCCAAAGTTCTATTCGTGTAGACACATGCTAGAACGAAGTTATTATTCCCAGTTTAATCAGTATGAATCGTAGTCTATTTGCTAGACTCAAATAGAGCTAGCAAGAACTCTTCACGACGCTGCCACTTTTGTTTTTTTCTTCTAATCATGCTTTGATTTGCTCTTCCTCGTTTCAATCGATCACTGTTTGAAAGCAAACTATTTACTATAGATTGCCACCGAATCTGTTAACAAAAATGTTGTGTGAAACGAAGCACATATTTTCGTTGGTGGGTTTAGAGGTATGGAATTAATGTAAAAGTAAGCTAGATAACAGTTTACAAGCCCAGAGTAACCATTCATTGTTTTCCCATAGAACTGTTCTCCTCTTTGTTCTTTTCTAATTTCCAGGTGACCATGTGATTAAACAGCATTAGCGGATCCTACCATCGACTATCAGTATCTAGTCTCAAGTGTGAGGGTATCTATCTAACAAACAAAAAAGTTGTGCTTACCCGGTATCTTGTAGCGTCTCGTATTGGAATTCGTTGACCCACTGCTGAAGCCGTTGAACCCGCTCAGGATAGAATCTGGTGTTCGGCATCGCGAGGTCGGATCTTCGTCGAGTTCAAAGAAGCTTTGCGACTGTGGTAGGCCCATCAGGCCTCCCATGCCGTGGCCTGCTTTCATAGGCGAATGTAATTCCAGGCCCATACCCACTGGATGCTTACCGTGCACCGGGTTTAGGCCTATACTGCTCAAAGACCTAAATACCGTAGTAAGCCAATAGCCAGATAGAAGTCCACCGCGTTGATGTTGCCGTGTGTATAGAGATAATAAAAGGACAGAAAAAAACGAGACGACTTTGAATCATGATCGGTTCTATAAAGATATGGATAGACTCAAAAAGATGTTTACTACTCCAGGGGCTCCTGTAACCTTTTAGAATTCGCTGCTACGCGATTGTTCATATCGCCTAATGTTCCCACAACGGGACAGAAACTGCGCTATTAGAACTGTTAGGTGAGCTTCACCAATTAATTCACAAACATTTCTCTCAGCTACTCAGCAAGCCAAATATTCTACCTACATCGACATATAAATTAGAACCTCTTCTTTCACAGGTGTCATTTCTGTTACTTTCCATCTTACCTATTAGTTACTATCCGACAGACAGAGGTGTATATAAAATCATCGTTTTAGCTAGGACCAAGTACAGCTCATTGATCGATCCGATAGGAGTCGATCATTAGCCTCAGCTCGATTTACATGCAAATGTTTCTATGTGCTTCCAGCTAAGACGCATCGAGGAAAAGACCCAATAATTACTATATCTATCATTAATATGTAACATGGTGCTCTAGTCATCATTAGATCCTAAGGCCTTTTCTATGAGTGCACTACGCTTTGCGCAGCCTCGAAGGCTACCAGATTCTAACTTTAAGGTGGCACGGTACGAAATATTTGCGTATATGATTGTCTGCCTATGCAAGTGCGGGTGTATTGATACAATTTTACTCAGTAACTATTTAACAAAAACTATCGTAAATAATGTTATTCGTCTTACTAGTTGTTAGTTCAAGCTGAGCCAACCTATGGAGTGCCTCGATAAATTAAAGCGACAGCGCATGCGTCTACGATCGCCTTTAGAATAACATCAACGCAGCTATCGGGTAGTGCCAATGAACGTTAATGCAATGCGATTAAATCAAGCTAACAGTGACTCATGCGTTACCTTTTGTTTGTAAACATGCAGACGAACTCAGACGACAGACAACATTGAAACGGTGAAAACGAAGACAAAACATATTCTTCCAACATCTTTTATCACTTTCACATTTTATTGGCTTATAGTTGTTATTATTACCATAATCTCATTTTCGTTTTCGCATTTGTAAATTCAATAACGGATTTACACCGCTAGCAGTCACCCTCGAAATTCGACTAAAAAAAAACGATGTTTGAAAAGTCGCAGCAACAAGCTTTATCTATAGTAATATTAAGCACTTCTATTTGAACAAGCCCTTATCGGCATATGTCGCGTCACGTTTTGCCGTTTCGCTGGCTTCTGTGGCTGTATCTCGTACAATAATGACGGAATTTGATCGAGATCTTCGCATGTATGGCTAAGTTTACTATATCACACTCATATTAAGTCGAACGAGTGTTAAATCCAACCGCGCTACAAACGCGCCACCAGCAGTATTTTGGCCCCATAAACTATATCGAGTTGGCAAATAGAAGAACAAAAGTCCGAACCCACCTTCAGGCGGGCAGTGATTGGTAAGCCTATTTGCCCGAAAAAGCGTCAGTTCTTGACTCAGTCTGTCGGGGGAATATGCCTAACTATTTTACTTTAGTTTGATGAGACACCGAAAAGTTTCAATTTCTCGATTAATAAGCTTGACCACTTATTTCGTCCAGATGAGACAGGTGGCAAGTTGCTAGTGCTGTTTCTACCTAAAACTAAATCATCGGCACGGATAAAAGTTTGCATAGTTATGAGAGCATGCGTGTATAGACACTGGCGTCAACTCGCGTTGTAAATTCCTCTCAGCGCTCAATCGGTGTCTGAAATCTTTACCTACGGATCACTTGGTCACGGCCTCGCTGCCATTTCGTATGAATCTTCTTTGCACATCTGTTCAATTCACACATTCATTTTATGGGCATATATACAAACAGGACAAATTCCCGCTTAATTAATCAGTAATTTAACTTGATCATAGCAAACGTTCAAGATATGATTATATCTCGCTCACTTAATGGCACTTAATGTCTCAATTTTGCAGTTCAGATTTAGAATTAGGGATCCTGGTAGAACAAGCAACGATCTGTTAACATAAAACACGTTTTACCCATGTCTGTAAAATCTCTCTCTTACTTTCACCTAACAGCGATCACATCAAGTAGAATTACCAGTTACCTAATAATGGGAATGCTTTTTGGAGTTTTACTTCAAAGTTCACCTGGAACTACGTGTTTCTCTTTGGAATCACCTGAAACTAACTTATCCGTACGGTGGAAGAAATAAGCTACTAACGTTAATAGCCTCTAGTATTATCATATTCTCCCAACGCAGGCTTAAATCTAACTTGTCACGTCTAAGAAAACTACGAAATCTAGAACATGGAAATTTCTTACCAACTTACTCCGGAGTCGTAACCGGTTACTATGTAATATGCCCCATGAAGACTATTTATACTAATACCACCAGCACACGGTTGTTTCCTTAAGAACGCATTTCCTGCTTTTTGGTTAAGCTAAATAAATGATCGACGAAAATCCGCTCAAGTCTCTATAGAAACTAACACTTGATTAATTAAGTGTCGGAAATGAAATTTCTGTTCTTAGGTAAAAAAAAAACATTGCCAGCTGGCGGTCCTAAATTTCGCTATGTTCAAAATATACTTCACAGCTTCTTCGCGAACCAATATTAAAGATATATATATATATATACATATATATATATATATATTTAAAGTAACCGGTAACCACTTTACACCAGGTAATATAAATTATTAGATCCCGTCTCAATACGATTATCTCTATGCAACTATTCTATAAAGAATAATCGCGTGGAGATAGTTGCTTCAAATTGGTGCCAGCCAACTAACTTATGTATCTTCATGAAATTCGCCGCGTTACACATAAACAGGCGAACCGTTTCCAGATTTGCCCACTATCTAGAGGCTATCTATGATTATTAACATGATCATCTCAACATTTATCAAAAACCAAACGAAAACAACTACAATGCAACGCTATAACATCTTTCTGTTAAGGTATTCATTGGAGTCCCCATTGACAGACCGAGATAGCTATATGGTGAATTGAACCTAATGAACAGAGACTAAACTCGATTTTTCTGTTCCTAATAAATACTGAAAACCAGCTTGAACAATTTGTAAAGCATTGTAAAAAAAAATCAGGATAATCTCAGAACCTCTACATAATGCACGTACTAGCCTCGGTATATCACGTAGACTTCAGAGCAAAATGTAAACACAAAAGGGAAAAATCTCGTTGATCTGCTGAAGGAGCAAATCCGACTAAGGCTCACACAACCAGCACGTTGGTTACAAGAAAAAAAAAAACATGTATAAATAGACAAGAAAGGAATAGCGAAAAAAAACATGCCTAAATAAACAGAAAAAAAACCATGCCTAAATAGACGAAAAAACAGTCGCCAAAGCCTTATTGTAAGAACCTAGTTTCTCAAATGGTGCATGTCTACAATCCGTTTACAAGGCATCATCCACTTGCAAATAGACGGACAAAGCATTTCGCATATCACATCAGTCAACTTTGTAATCTGTTCTTTTACAAATCGTTTCTTCGGTTTAAATTTGCGGCATACGTAGGTGTGACTACATATATCTTTGATGGCATTCTACTTTTCCATACGATTTAATGGAGTCCACCATCGAAAGCAAAGCAAATTGTTGCCTTGTTAGCGAGCTGATGAAATCTATAACGGATGATTTTGTGATCTGGAGATAATTCATAATCTACGATGTTTCAAGTATCGATTTCAGTGTCGGGATGGGCAAGTTGTTTGAAACGCATGATCGCGCTGTAGAGGCGCGCTATACTCTTGGTGAAAAATGTGCGCGTAAGGTTTTGCCCCATAGATAGTGGAAAGATAGCGGAGGTAGCACGAGGCAGGTGGATTGCAGACGGGCAGATGTGGGGAATGTTACAAAGCAATTTGGTCCGTAGATGTCGACGAATGAGTTCATGGGACGGGGACGAGCGGCTGATCGATCGGTTTTAATCGACGGACGGAGGATCAGGCAAGTCGAACAGCTGCTTCGAGACGGGTAGGTATGACCTATTGTCGGCTTGTGGTTTTCAGGGAATTTTACATCATTTAATTTAGCTCAGATGAGTCGTTCTTTGCTGGACATTTAGCCTTTAGTTTGGTTTACTGTCACACTGGATTTTTCGCTCTAATTAGGTCGTATTAGCGATTGCCTTCACTGGCCAAGTTGCAAGACACGGTGGGGAAGGGGTGTGGTTCAGTTAAATAGAAACTTGATAAGCTACTGAAGCGGTATGGTTGCGAGGGCTTCAGCCAACCATTGCAGCAAAGCCGGCAGGAAAATCAACAACAAAATCCACAATAACCTGCAATTGACACAGCAACAACAACAACAACAACAACAACAACAACAACAACAGGAAAAAATACAGCTAACAACTATATACGGCACTAGGCGACGAGAAACGTAACAGCCAACATACACAATTACCCACGAGTTATAAACGCGAAACAAAGGATACAACATAGTAACAGGAGCCATGGCTGGAAAGTACGAGCCGATCGAACTGAGGGAAGAACAATGTCGTTAGCAAGTGGGAGACAAACCGGCCGTTTTTATAAACCTTGACACACGTAAGATTCATTTCGCTTTGAGCGAATGTCGCAACAGAACATAAGGGAGACTATGATACGCATTTCGGAATATAGCGACGAGTGTACTCATTTCATGTGCAGCGCGAACCAAAGTTAAACACCGTCGTATATGGTACAAACGGGTTTCCGATAGTACATAGCAGTACGTCTATCAACTCAGTAGTATCTAACGATCTAGCCCACAACCACCACCATAACGAAATCAACTATAATATGGCGGTTATATCCCACTTTTACTGCTTGGTGTATCGCAGCCTTATATCACAAATAAGCGTATTTTCGCTGCTAACCAGAACACACACGGAAAATTCGTGATTCGTGGCAAAATTGATGACTAATCTTTCGATGTCTGATATGGTACGGAAACTTTTAAAACTATCACGTTCAACACGCAGTAGGCAAACGGGTAGTAGCTGGGTATTTTTTTTTAAACAAACGTTTAATAACATCTAATGGCACAAAGCATTATAAGGTACTGCACAAACGCATTTATAATTCTTTTTACTTATTTTCTTTAATTATGACACCCTCAACTATTATTTCTACGTGAACAAATTCTTCGAGTCAAAAGGTCAAGGACTTGCCGCCATCAGGAGTCTAACCGGGGTGGGTCTTGCTGGACTTATCTCCAAACAGCTTATTAACAGATTCTTGTTTTTTTTCTGAACTCCTCGTGAGTCCATTTGATTTTGGCAATATTAACGTTCGATAATCTTTTTCCAACGCTGAGATTGGGACCAGTACGACTGGACGTTTCTTACCGTTCCTGGTTACCGTAGCAGGGCATTCAAGGAGACGCCACCCAGACCACGCTCTCCCTTGGACACATTTCTAACTAATGGCCAGTTTCGGTGCTGATCGGGCATCAATATGCTATGGGCAGTTAATGTGAACTTGTGGCCATTCAGAGCCATGTTACGTTCACACGTATATTTCATGCTGACTGGTAAATAAATAAGCAATAGTAAATAAGTGGATTCAAAATATATGAATTCTGAAACAGTTGAGCAGTCCGAGTATCTAAAGCTGAAGTAAAAAAATTGACTTTTTTATGTAGCTAGCATTCTGGTATCAAACCGCTAAGCACCCCGTATACTTGTTTTCAACAACTGCCAACGGTTTGTCCTGCATATCATTTCCGTCAATAACTCCTACTATTGTTATGCTATTGAATTATCAAGTATATCTGCAACAGATAACGTCTACCGTCGTTCTAGCATTGACTAAGATCAACGTCGCGAACCGTAAACACAAGACATCATGGGGTGGGGGTACAAATTGTCACGTGGGTAACATGCTGATTATGCAGCGCGCGCGCAGGTGCTGATGCCGATGTGTCAACCAAACGACGAAACTCTTAATATTTCGCTAATATGACTATAGCTTTTTAGTTACGTTGCTTACGTAATCGATTCTGTTTCGACGTCACAATCGTTACCTGACGTAATAGTTTAGTCACCATATTAGACTTTGCCGCTTAACAAAATAAAATTCAATAAATCTTTTTATTAAATTAGGTTGTTTTGGATAGTTGCTGCTTCTCGTTATTCAAATTCGTCTAGGAAGATATGATTCTGTTGAGCATTCCATGATTTCGCAATCTGTTCTTTTTTTTTGCCTTTTTCGCCGTCTACTGTGCGTTAGCCCACTTCGGGCTACCCGATTGTCTTCTAGCGTGGATAATGAAGAATGATAGATCCTAGTATGTTCCGTACGCCGAAAAGCAAGCCATCCCATCTGGGTCGTAATTAGATCCCTTCTTACTAAATGTTTTCACCCAGTGTGGTATTCTTATAGTAATATTCGGAGAAGCACGCCGGATATACACGATGCTGTAAAATTCATCAGATCGTTGATCGGACAACTTCCGATAATTTACAAACAGGTACCAAAACAATAACCAAGCGAACATCGGCATCTAGTTAGTCTACTTCACAAACCTGTTCCTGTGCACAATTATTCGGTATTTTTTTGGTGATTATGAGACTATTGTGAAAGGAAGTTACGCGTTCATCAAGCGACAGAATGCTGGTTACTTTAAGAAAAATTTTGTCTAAAAAATAGGACCTTTCAAATGTTTCTTAAACGAAAGTATATAAAAAAAAAATAAGAAGAACAGACTTTAAGATCATGCATTAAGGACGAAAATTTTGTATACAGTGGGCATTGACACCGTAACATAGGGCAAGTACTGGAGGTCCCTCACTTGGTTCGATATTGTTTGATCGAGAAAAACAATGACTACCACTACTAATACCACGGATAATAAAGTTACAGCGTGATACGAGCCGGTGAGCATTCGTTGCGTAATAAGTTAGCTAACTGCAAACTACGCCCCATTTTGATGTGTCTTCTACATTGGTAACAAAAATCGTCTCAAAGGAAATCAATACAACGGGGACCTGTATAAACAAAGGACCAACACCAGTACGAGATTAAACATTGCCCGAAGTATTCCGTATGTATATCTCTTGAAAAGGAAATTCATTGCGAACTTACGAATACTGCGAATCATCGTCAGTTTGGCAACTTTCAGGAAATAGACTCTCATTCTCATCCGATACTCCGTCGAAATCATTTGACATTGGCCGTCTATTGGCAGCTCTGCAAGGGGGACGCAGATTCGGTTCCGAATCGCCACAGCCCTGTACAGGTCGCCGGGACGGCGGCTGTGGGGAAGCGTTCGAAGCAGAGGTCGCAGCCCTAATAAGTGCGTGTATGTATGCAGCGCGCGGTGGAGGTGATGAGGTCATCGGGGTCGACATTAAGATGTGAAGGAAGACGGAAATATAAGAAAAACAAAAAATGCAATGAAAAACAGGCATCAAGGATAGCGCATGCAATGTGATTGATCATGTAAAGTAACAAAAAATCATAAAATATAACATACAACAATTTCGACCTACAAGATATGTCTTAACAAACCCTCGCTGTAAAACGCATTGACACCACAAGGAGATCAAACGCGAAAAAGAACAATATTATAAAGTTTATATAAAGGTTTACAATAGTTTCAAAAAAGAAAAAAACACACACACACACAGTTTCAAAGAGGAAAAAAGCTTAATATCGATTCTAACGCGGTAACAGTTAAACTCGGTGCATTTCTGCAGTAATTACTCTATATGATTAAGGTAATACGGGCAATTGTGACCACGAACGGTGTAGTTAAGTCACCCATACTGCAAGCATAAGAGGCGGGCTTGGGAAACACAGTGTAGCTACACATTGCCAGTTAATAAATTTGCTCGCGAGTTCACTGTAAAGGGATTGTACACACCAATCACTAATCGTTATGACTAACCATTTCCTAATCCATTGTTATAGCGGCAGACTGGACCTCGAGCATACTCAACGTTGGCCAAGACTCATGAAGTATACATAGCACGACTAGGTATTGTTGCAAAATTAAAACGTTTAGGCTTACTAGATGATAACACCGAATAAACCATCAATTATATACGGCGTATGATATTTAAATTCGAACCAACTTTTACGGGCTGTTTTTCGTCTCGGGCATCTGCTGGTCCTGGTACGAAGGAAGCCAGTTTTTTTTTCTAGAACAACACAACAAACGCAAGAAACTATGCGCTGTTTCCAGAGTTTGAGTGGGGGTTAGACGTTACCCAATCTCGTCCCGCTGGCTACACCTTGATTTTTGCATAGAAATGGATGACCCTTTTGAAGAAAAGATTGGATCGTCCCGGAAAGTTTCAACAATTAGTGCCTACTAAATTGACAAAATTTCGTCCCGCTATTAGCCCAAAATTAAACGCATTTTAGCTAGCTTAGACCGACCAGCATCGCGTGACGCACGGTTACTATCGGGAAAGCTATGCAACCGAACTTCCGATTTCTGGAGTAACTAGTTAGATGTGTAAGTCGAACTGAAGTTGTAATTGCGGTCAGTTGTGGCTTAATTTAATAACGATGACCGTCAGGAACAACACCTAAAATATTTGTTTTCACTTCGATACAGTGTTAGGACACTTGCAATTCAGGTACCGTACGCTGTATATTCACAAGGACAAAGGCATGTCCTGCAGATTTCTGCCCCTGTACAGAAAGGCCGAATCCAATGTCGTACACATGGACCGTTTAATCAAACACGACAAAACATACTGCGTTCGTCACCGATATTTTGCTCATCCTTAGTTCGCAAAAGCATTTATTTGCTGTGCTACGTCCTAACCGTCCCATTAACTAGTCACTACTGACTCATAGATTCTGTATGCTACAATGACTGGTCTATATATAGCAGACTATAAATCAATAGTTTCTTCTTAGCGTTGCTTTTCAATGACTTTAATCGTACGTTCTCTATTCTCCTCTACGTGGGTAAACGCATACCTGTCGTCAGAGTGATATCCTTCGGAAATGTCCGTTCTCATCGACATTGAAAGCTCGGCTGCAAGCGAATCTGGATTAATATATTTGGTATAGGGTCCGTGTGACCCGTGGTTGTTGTAACTTTTGGCCTGGGCCACCCCGACACCAACAGAGAATCCCACCGCCACGCCGCCATTTTGGTTTACGTGATGATGATGATGGTGATGGTGATGGTGATGATGGTTATTGTTGCCGCTGTTAGGGTGTCCTTGCGTCGCGTTTGCCGCGATTCCGCCGACGCCGCACACGCTGCTTATACTCGAGCGACGCTTGCGCTGGCGGAACTCCTCTTGGAGTTCCTGCAAAAAACAGTGACAAATGGCAGAAGCAAGTATACGGCTTAGAGCAATGCCAAATACAATCTTTAGAACAAATAAATAGTTATTCAGTAGTAATGATAATAGTGCCAACAATATCCACGGACGGTACCTGTACAGTCATCTTGGATGTAGAGCGATAAAGAGGGAAGTTTGCTTATGTGTAGAAAAACGCTGTTATGATAACTGTAGTCAGGGACGTCATGGTCGGTTAGAAGGTAGTGTGCTGGACGTAAATCCGATTAGAATCAAAAAAGCTCATACGGCACGACTGCTTCTTCTTTTAGAGTAGTAACAACATTGAATAGTATTATTTTTGTAAGGTTATAAGATACATCTTCAGAAAACAAAAATAATAATAAAAGGATTCTTATATGTTCTTGTCCATCACTGCTTTTATGCCATCTGGGCCGCCACCTGCTGGCGGTTATTCTCAACAGTGTAGAATATATTATAATTTGTCTGTAAGTTCACACCTCTTTTTCCGCCCACTCATCGCGTAGAATTTCGATTTTCTCGTACATTCTGCAACTGCCATTTTGTTTTTCTCTGCTTTTTTGAGCACGATTTTAAAGCATACCGACAACCGGATTTCTGCAGAACACTGAATTTTTGGCATTTAATGTTTACCTTAAGATCTCGATCATGACTCAATTGGTTCAGCGTCCCTTTCTTTCTTCCAGTGAGTTTGTTTCTACTAGTTCTCGATTATCTCTTGCATAAATCTTTTAGCAAACACACGTTCATGGGAAATTAATACGTTTTTTGCAAGTTCAAGAATTAATATTATTTGGTTCAAAGTGGTTATTTCAATTGCACCCATAAACCACTCACGTGATAACTGCAATTTTTTGCGAAGATTTATCGACTTCACCTCTCTTGGGTCTTAGAAAAAAATTTTGAAAAATATCCTTACATATTTAGTTGTAGCCAAAAAGCGTCGTTGGCCATTTTTCACGCATTGGGTACATTTGTTTGCGTATATGCGTTTCCACACAAGCAAAACCCCCGGCGCGGTAGAAAAATGCTATCTCTATGGCAGAACAACTGAGTATATTGCTAAAATGATAACGTATAGTAAAATAAATATGTTACTTAAACTTGATTGATCGATCGATCGATCGATCGATCAAACTCAACAAGACTGATGCCGAAAGTTCGAAAACATACCGGTCGATACCGGAAATGATGCCGGCCGACACGTCGTCACGCTTTTTGCCATAACCGTCTGTTTTCTCGAAACGAATTCGAGATACACATACAAGATTATACTTTTTTTTTTTTGCACATTACGCGCAGTTGGGCTTACTCTTGATTTCGGTGTTGATCACTAGCTGTCATCATTTCGTGTTTTTGCGTAGTTTTTAATAGAAATGTGACGACTGGTGTTATTGTTTTTCGGGGGTTCATTACCTGCCTAGCTGCATATACGTACTTGGAAGGCACATAGAAGGTTGTTGTACTTATCCTTGCAGTTGCCAAGTTCGAGGGTGAGCTCCTGTTGGGTCTCACCCATTACGTCCATGTTCATACGTAAGGTCTCATTTTCAATAGAATACTCGCGGACCTAAAAAAACCCGAATTTTTGAGAAAATATTGTGGCAGACTGTGGCGAAGTGTTTTTATAAAATGTTTCGCATTATTTACAATTGTACCGGTTACAAATATATCGAGCCCTTGCAAGAACTATAACTACGTCAACACAGGTTTCGTCTACGTTTGCACCTAGAGCCGAGCAACCCCGAAAGGATGTAATAGTGCAGCTATTAATCTCAAAATGTCGTAATATCATTAATGTGCTTGGTACCTTTTTCTGCAGATCTACGATTTGTCCCAGTAATTGCGTAATTTCCTCCGCTTGTTTAGCGGAATTCTCGGCTTTTTTGCCAAGCTCATCGCGTAGCCGGGCAGACTCGCGCTGGCTTTCATTTAGCTCGCGTAAACACTCATTAATTAGCTCAGTTTCACGCTTCTCTTCCGCTTCCAAATCGTCGGTCCACGTAACCGACTAGAGGGGAAGAAATGTAAAGTAAAAATGGATAATTGCACTTTAGAATAAGTGATACATACATAAAGGTAATATGTTAAATACGAATAGATATGTTCTCATACATCATCAGATTTAGAGGTAGAACACGAACGGTTTTCACGAAGTTTGCCATGACCTTTTTCATTGGAATTGTACTTGAGCGAAAAATTGATGAAGCTATCTCACCTCACTTTTGAGTCGCTCATTTTCCGTCTCGAGTTCGCTGATTTTTTTTTGCAGGAGATCGACCCCGCAGGGTGGAAGGTCTCCTCCCGGGCTATCGTCCTCACCCTCCTGATAGATGGCAAGAAGCCCACTTTTGAGTGATAGGTCATGACGAAGCTGGGTCACAATTTCCTGAGCTGCTTGGAGCTCCTGCTCAAGAGATTCAATCCTCTCCTACACAACGCATGGAAAAACGCGTACAAGGTTAGTACCATGGCAATGTTTACCAAAAACTTTACCTGGTGTTTACTACGATTCTTCGGCCGTGGCTTCGATCTAACATTATTTCGAAAGCGAAACTCATACAACGTTAATTAGCTTGCAAACGAACTAAACATATTAAATGTAAAAACAGCAGGGCGATTTCGAATAACGACTATGTTTCTTGTGTCCAGGTAAGGTTCATTATGCAAATTGACTAAACACCTTTCCTGGCCTTAGCTTACACAGGTGCTTCGGCCAAAGGAACAAGCCTATCCAGATACTTCATCTACAGATTTTAATTGTGTTCCCATGATACTGCAACGGCAATGCGCTTACTTACTAGATATCGAAACACGTCGTGAGGTGATCTAGGTTCGAACCGCACTTCAACAGAGACACTTCACGTCGTCTCGGAATTTAACTATTTACTACATGATTACTAACTAAAGCAGTCCGGGGCGCAAAATTCGAGAGAGTGTTCAATCATGTTTAATTCCATCTGCATCATATATAGTGATGATTTTTGAGGTTCGAATACACAATGCCTAGCGCTGGCTACCTGTAACGTTCTCTTCTCGTCGAGGAGGCTCTTGCCAATATGGGCGGCAAGTTCAAGATCCCTCTCCTTCTCCTCCAGCAGCCGCGTGAGAGCGTCGGAATCGTCATACGTCCGGGTCATCTGCGTCAGCCGCTCCGCACATAGAACTGTAATCAATCGACGACCGAAAATGAAATACGATAAATACCACATCCATTATGTGTCCCTAATCAGCTAGAGATTGTCCGTTTGACGGTGCAGTGGCAACTTGCTGACTTACTGAACTTGTGTGTGGTGGTCTAGATTGGTTCAACACCGTAGAGACCCCTTGTTTTGTACTGAAAGCAATCACCCGCCTGAACTATAATACATAGCGGCAATACTTGGCCTTAAACTCAAAATAGTTATCCGTTACCCTAGATATTAATAGGAAAAACAATGTTAAGTCCAAAATATATAATAATAGATTATGCAGTTAGTTCTTGTCAGTTCTTGCATATTGTTAAACAATACGACTATCAGTCTAGACCACTAAAACGTATCTAGTTGACTTTAGCCTAGTTGTGCGTCTGATCAGGTTGCTTTTACCGGCACCTCTTCACACCAGCTCAGAGGATTCCTATTAACAATAACGATGATGATGATGATGATCCCTTGCCTTCGCCATTAACAGCGTTTGAACTCACTTTTGAAAAACTCAAGTTTCTCTTCCTCGGAAAACGCGAAGCCAAGTTTCTTAAGCTGTGCAGGGCTAGCAACGCACTCAAGTGACAACTGGAATGGCAGATGACAATCGTTGGCAGCGGAAATTCTACGATCAGAATCGATCCCGTTGCAATCGGCGAATACGCTTGCGGTTCTGTGCATCTTTTATTGGCCATTCACAATAATGTCTTTGTGTAGCACTCGGTGTTTTCTATTGGCTAAACGGGTTCGATCGTCTCGTGCGTCACTCCACGGCACTAGCGTCCCTCGCTATAAAATATATCAACATCCTCGTTATTTACGCCATTAGCTAACTATTTGTTCTGAACAGATGATTTTAACCAAGCGTCTGACCTGTAATAGAGGCACTATTCAACCGCCAGCAGGGCTATTGGAGATTTAGGAAACGAAGTATGCTTTAATAATAACCCCTTTAGGTTTCCTTTAGGATCAATTCCTACACAGATGGTTATATGCATATGTGACGTAAACTGTGCCGTGTAAAGTCTTGTAAAGTGGGTAACAACAATGGCCTATAGTGCCATTATGGTAATAATTACCGATCGACCTTCTTCATTCCTACTAGCAGCTCCCGGGTTCAGAGGTGCTAGGCATAGTTACGCCTTGACAAATGTTTGGCTCGTCAGTGGCTGGTGTTTTGCGCGCAATAATTTGAACAAGACTATCTATGGTTTATGAATCGCAGTGTACCGTTCGCTGGTCTTCGTGCCCTTGAATGCTATACTGGTAGTCAAAGCGTTGTGATAATCACTATAATAGTCATGGTGCCTCGCCACTGTGAGCAGAATCCGTAGAGTACCAAAAAAGATAGCAGAAGAGGCTTATCGCGATAAATAAGCAAAGTCATATGGACATATATGCTGCCGTCTTCCAGAAAGAGAGCGGATTAACCCGAATAAGACGGTTTCTACTAACACTATAATAGCCACTCAATTTGCATGATCACCACTGCCTGGTCAATGGGGCATTCCCCATAGTCCGTGTGGGTCGGTTAGAATATTTTTTCGTTTGTGGTCAATCGTATTACCATTGATTTTCAGACACAACAGACGGCTAAAACAATAATAATAATAATAATAATAGCAGTAGTAATAACAGCACGTATCAGTCCGATAAACGCACCAAAACCCTACCTCTAGGTTCTTATGTAAGCAAAAGGCAGACCTATAACGGCGAATGCGGCGAACGGAGACTCCGCTTGATTCCAATATTTCATGTAGAAGTTTAATGATAGGCTATAGGGGAGTGTTGAATTCGTAGGAGTGCGGTGTATGTTTTCGTAGTTGGACATTCTCACATGGCGTGCGTTGGTGGTGTTAGCTCTGCATCGAATTAAGGAATACGACCAACCACAACAGCTTTTCTAACCACCAAAATATCCGGTCCGTCTTCTTCGATGATAGCCACCTTTTCTCCTGTTGCGCTTTTCCTGCTTTACGAAATCGAACACGTGGCTCAATTCAGGCAAAGAAAAACCGATAACAATGCCTATGATCAGCTGTATAACAATGGCTAGAAACAACCAAACTGACAATCTCCGAACTACGACGCACGGTTCAAAGTATCAAATCAATTGCAGGTCTCTCTCTTGTTCATACGCAGATGATGCACATGGGCAGGCTGTACGTAACACAAGCACATGTGTATATCCATATTGTCGGTGTTATAAAGTTACGAATGAACAATTTCAACATTTCATCGCACGGTAGACACGCACGCATCGTGTCGTCAACCGGTGAGCGTCGGCACGCTGATCCGTGCTCGTCGTCGAAACATTCGGTCGACCACTACGTTGCCGCGTTGTTTCCGGCTGGGATGACGGCGTCCGCGCTTACGTTCGCCAGTGATCGCGGGCAGATTCTTGTTTGCAAACACGAATAAAACACCATTACTTATTCTCGATTCTATTGTTCACCGGATAGCAGCATTGCCGAAACGATCGTGCGAGGCGACCTGAATTGATTTCGAGCGCGGACGTCGGCTTTGGACGTTTCTACGTCTTGCGTTACTGTCCGCACGTGACACAGCACATGTGAATGTTACCTCTAAATACATTATCATCTCACACAGTCAGTTGGGTGCCTGCCAGCGCTTCTTGATACCTGTCAGATCGACTTTAACTGTGCCAGTTTTTTCGTCACGTCGCCAAATGTAAGTTCAGCTGGAATCGAGAAGTTAGTTCAACACCAACAGAGGGGCACATCCAGCCTAGTCGGTACATTTCTCCCTCACTCTTCACTAGACTAGGTCCGCTGTGTATATCGATAGGTTCTTGACTGTAAATATGCGAGCAATAACGTACGTCCACTGCAGCTACTAGCAGAAACAGCAGCACCAGCAACGGCCGTTTGGCAAACAGGCTGTTGTTCGTTTTGTTAATGTTATTATAATCGCTTCAGGCCAGAAGCCTGCCGTTCGTTCGGTACGATGATTCGCGCGCACAGACAGACGGAAGCTGAATACGAATACTATAGAGTGCGCGTTACCGACGCTACCGTCATTTTTGGCTTTCTCGTTGTTTTCGTCGCCGGCGCAGTTACCGACAGAGGCCTCTCAGACTATGTCTTCGTGTGCGGCGATCTGTGCAGCCATCACAGACACAATCTCGTGTTCAGCGTCGTTCGTCACTCACGTGTTTCGTTATTGGTTATGTATCTACTATGTTCGCCTACTCCTAAGACGAGCAACAGGTACCTAGATGTGTTAGATGAGCAGATGCGGTGTACGTAGCTTAAGCTGACTATATTCGTGTTGCCTGCTTTGCCCTATATGCTTATCGATAACGGCAGCTGACGACAATTTAATGTGTTTCATCGAATGATACATGCATTCTAGGCGCACTCGTAAACACAATCACATGTTATCTACAAATGAGATCGATTTTAGACGAGGATCAGTGTGTCACGATTGACATTAAGCCCTTCGTAGAGTAAAAAACGTCCAACCAGAATCTAATCTCTAAGCCCACGCAATATGTGGCAAAACTTAATTCTGTTTTTCCTCATTATTCGGGGGCCTATCCGTCGCTGTCACTGAACTTGTCTATACCGCTTCGTCGAGCTCGTCTATAGCCAACGCTGTCATCACTTGTCCTGCAATACGCACTTTATCATACTATAAACTTCGATCATCTCTCCGTGATGTCCCCGAGCCCCGTACAAATGCTCAGGCTCGCTCGAAAACAGGCCCACACAACAACCTAAACGCACACCGCTTAGTGAGAATCGTCGCAGGGTACGATACATGTCGTCATGTTAACAAACACTTGTGTGCAAGACAACGACAGATTTCTCTGCAATGAGTCTAGGTGTTGGCGAGCAATAAAGGCCCGCACTGCTTGAGTAGGCTAAGATTTGATACTCAATACGCATTCAGAGGCCTCCAAACCGTGCCTGCTATTTGTTTAGGTTTTCTTGTCTACGCTATAGTTGCTTATCCAGCTAGCAGTCTGAAGCAGGAAGGATGTACCAGCCGGCGTCACAGTATGATCATACTTTAGAGCAAGATATAGACAAAGACGCTGCTAGCCGTCGTAACAATCAACACATGCGTTAGGGACTATTGTCTCGTTAATATTCATTGGGAATCCCGTTGGAGAGGATAATTGAAAAATTTGAGTACCGCATCTGTGCGAACTGGCGTTGAAATATGTTAGTAGGTCAAATATGGCTCAACACGATCTACGACAATGAACTCTATCTGTAAAAATACCAGTACGGACAATATTGCGTAGTGGATACTTCGCGCGAAACACACAAAGGCTAAATGCATGTGATATGATAAAAAAATTATCTAAAAACCCTCACGTTAAAATGTACACACTTCCTATTTAGAAAAAAACTCAGATCGCGAAGATACACCTGATTCTTTTTCTATATGCGGAGATCGTCGTCTTACGATGAAAGTCCGTCTGTACATTCGATGAAGAACGGGAACTCTTTAATTGTTCCTGACGCAATTCCTCTCAAGGGCCCGCTGTGGATCGGTCGAAATTTCATATAACAACGCTGGCAGCAGCGGCGACAGAGGTGGTCGTGATAGCGTGCATAAACGTTCCAGTGTTCGTTTTTTGCTTCAGCTTTCTACGCTGAGGCCGATCCGGGTCATAGCTTCGTCGCTATCGCGACGGACCGCAACGTCGCCACCTAGTTCCTAATTGTTCCTATTGAACGTAATCCCGATTGCCCCCCAACGGGCAGAATTCAAATCGATCAATGTAGAAGAACCAATAAATGCCGAGCGATAGCAGTAAAAATGTCACTTTTACGAATGCTAAAACCGTCCGTTCTGCCAATGTCGTGCGCTGCCTGCTGTTGGCCAGCAGGCTACTGCTACCTCTGCACGCTGCTGGGGCGGCGGGGTATTTCTGAATAGCGAAGAGACGGGTGTGAAGTACTTTGGCTTCAGGCGGAACAGGATTTAGATAAATGAAAGAGCTCAA